CCTGAAAAGGACATCAAGGCTCTCTTTTCCACTTCCTCCATGTACAGGTTTGCAACAATAGGAGAAACTGGGGATCCCATGGCACACCCATGTTTCTGCCTRTARTATTGCCCCCCGTACGTGAAGTAGGTTGACTCCAGGCACAGTTTGAGGAGTTGGCGCACTTGTTCTGTGGAAAGTGTAGTTCTGCTGCTGACAGTGGTGTCTGATTTCAATCTTAGCCCGCTGGCTGCTCTGCTGTTGTGATCACGTGGGGTCTGCATGCTGGATAGAGAAGCTGGAGCGGAGTCAGTGGACTGCTGGATTGAACTGCTAATATCGGAGCGCTTATTTCGGACATTTTTTTCTGCAGGCCGATAAAATCCGATACTCGTTTTTTGGCTGATATCGGACCGATATCCAATATCAATATCGGATCGGGACACCCCTAGTTGAAAGCAGCCCGTTCTGCCATTAGATGGTAGCGTTGTTCAAGAATGGCTCCTGTTTTTACTGGAAATATATATTCTGGGGAACTGAGACAATTTTGCGGATCTATTTAGCTTCCGCTAAAATATTTATGACATGTGTGCTTTATAACATGCAGACCTAAAGAAAATAATTAGCGGTTTAGAATTTGCGGAACTAACTTTTGAATTAGTGCTGCCCACCACTGCTAATTTCAGTGGCAGCCACTCTCTCCCAGAGAGGGAGGGGCAATACATGYGCTCGCATGAGCTCTAGGCATGGATCGGCCAAATGCATGAACGAATCAACCGATACTTGTGAAAAACGCAAATATCGGCCGGCAGATGTCGACCTCTATTGTCAATTGTCCGATTACTTTTGGTGGACACATGTTAAGGAGCTGAAGTCCTAAACCCTTATCCATTTTTAATGTGGATACCCTCGAATGAAAGCTAAAAGTCTGAACTTTATGTCAGTTATATAACTATAACTTGAATATATTTCAGTAAACAGGTAAAGAGAGAAACTTTCTGTCCAAACAGATATGAACCTAACTGTATTTAGACAGTCGCCGAAGTCTTTCTGTGATGACATCACTGTTACCAGATTTAAATAAATCTCAATCTCAGCTGAAACAAAAGTTTATTCAGAGAAAAACTAACAAAAAAGGCTAAACTGAACGCATCTAGTAATTTGAAATCCYGCTGCAGACTATAATTACGTGAAGGTCATAATTATGTTTTAAACATAGAGGTACACAGCAGTGTTCTGTGTACAGCTGCAGAGTGGACTGGTCCACCAAGAGTAATATAGATCAGTATTTGACACTAAAACCCTGTTCCAACAGGCAGAACTGAAGATGACTGAGAAAATGCTCCTCTTTAATATTAAGTATGTTGTGAGAAAATTACTGCAACGATAAAAACACCTAATAAATAAGGTTTTTCTGTTCCTGATTGCAGCTCGTCTCTCTTCACAGGGAGGGGAATTACCTTCAACTTTTCTTATTAAAAATACTGGCAGTTTGACTGTTTTTGGGGTTCTTTTGCTACAGGAAGAAATGCAGTCAAAGCTCATCTATTAGAGGAAATGCAGCCTGGTTTTAGGGTAACTCTGTTTGGAAACAAACATTCGAAACAAGCTGTAGAACAGTGACATGAACAGCCTGATATAGACCTAGTGCTTTCCACTTCATGGTATTTTATTAGAAATGTTTCTTTATCATTTTGTGTTTATTATAGTGRGAAACTCCTTCCTATGGCTGGAAATCTCCACACTGAGACAGGAGTGGTGTAACGAAGACTTGTGTTCTCTCTATGCTTTCTTTGTATATTCAGTGTTAGCTGACACTGATTTATAATTCAACTCAGTATACGAATAAATAAAAATTCCAACTTTAATCGTAATTGTCGACAAAATATTAACATGAATATGATATGATTAATATGAACCTAAATCTAAATCAAAGTATTTGACACTTACTTGAACCATTCACGCAATTCACTTATTTTACCCATGCATCAATTAAAATGACTACAATTTAAATGTAGTAACAGTAGTWATAGTAAACGCTATTCTGTTTTTTTAAAGGCACAGTGTGTATGATTTGCTGTTTTCAGCGACACCTAGTGGTTGAATCATCCTCCCTGGTCCT